TGTTCATAGAAGGACAAGATACTAAGGCAGCATTTGATGGAAGCACCTAAGCTAGTCTGGGAAGGCTCCCAGGAGAACTGACATTTAAACGGAGTCCTGAGGGATGTGAGCCACAGGAAGGGAGGAGGGCATTCCTAAGGGCAGGTACAAAGGCTCCCGGAAAGCACAGCTCAGTGCAGGAACTGGAAGAGACTCGAAGTGATGGAAGCCGAATTCGGCAGGGGGGGGGAGACAGGAGATTAGCCTGAAGATAGAGTTGAATTTAGGGCTTCTTAAGGACAAGAGCAAGCTGTTTCAGGGTGGAGAATAACTTTCAGGAAGGTCATGGTCATGAACCATCTCATGAAGGTCAGTCACACGGCTTTTCTCTGAGAAAACAAGCCTCTATGCTGCAAGGTCAGGAAGTTGAGTGACGCCTTTTTTCCTCCTTGCCCTGCCCCATGGCTCAATATCCCGGGAGTCAGTGGATGCTGGTGTCTCAAGTGGCATGACAAGACCATTGCCAACTTGCCGTCCAACAGCCTCTCTGTTCCCACACAACCAGACGGGCCACAGTGCCCACTGGGTGGATGTACCTTCTCTGCTCCCTCTTCCAGGATGCTCTCTCAGCTCTGTCAAAATCCTCCGTGCCCCGGGAAAGCTGGAATTCCTGTCTCAAGGCTGGGCATGGCTGGTCCCTCTACCAGGAACGTCCTTCCCCCAGACACCTTCTGTTCTCAACTCACTTGGTACCCTCTTCGAAGAGGCCTTCCCCAACAGCCCTATCTAAAACTGTAACATTCTTTGTCTCTGTATCCTGCTCTATCTGCCTTGTTTTCTACTTGTCTCTACCTGACATCATGTGTTTGTTTATCTGCTTCCATGGCATTAGAAGGTGAACTCCATGAACCAAAGAGTTTGTCCTAAGTGCAAAAACCTTCTCTGTTAAGGCTTTGTGCACAATAAACAGCCCCCTAATCTTGCAGCTTCCTCTTCATACCTTGCAGCCTTGTCAAGGCAAAGGGGCTTGCATAACTCAATAAAGCCATGCTGTGCATGGCCCCAAGATGGATGGGTCATACTGAAGAGTTCTGACAAAATGTGGTCCACGAGAGAAGGAAATGGTAGTCCACTCCTGTATTCTTGCCCGGGGAAGCCTATGGACAGTATGAAAAGGCAAAAATATAAGACAGTGGAAGATGAGCCCCCCAGGTTGGAAGGTGTCCAGTATGCTGCTGGGGAGGAATGGAGGGCAATAACTGTAAGAAAGAATGAAGTGGCTGGGCCAAAGTGGGAATGGTGCTCAGCTGTGGATGTGTCTGGTGGTGAAAGTTCAGTCTGATGCTATAAACAATATGCACAGGAAGCTGGAATGTTAGGTCCATGAATCAAGGTAAATTGGATGTGGTCAAGCAGGAGATGGCAAAATTGAACATCGACATCTTAGGAATCAATAAACTAAAATGGACAGGAATGGGCAAATTTAATTCAGATGACCTTTATATATACCAAGGTGGGCAAGAATCCCTTAGAAGAAATGGAGTAGCCCTCATAGTCAACAAGAGAGTCCAAAATGTAGTACTTGGGTGCAGTCTCAAAAATGACAGAATGATCTCCATTCATTTCTAAGGCATACCATTCATCATCACAGTCTATGTCCCAACCACTGATGCCAAAAAAGCTTAAGTTGACCCATTCTATGAAGACCTACACGGAGAAGGCAATGGCACCCCACTCCAGTACTCTTGCCTGGAAAATCCCATGGACGAAGGAGCATGGTGGGCTGCAGTCCATGGGGTCACTAAGAGTCAGACACGACTCAGCGACTTCACTTTCACTTTTCACTTTCATGCATTGGAGAAGGAAATGGCAACCCACTCCAGTGTTCTTGCCTGGAGAATCCCAGGGATGGGGGAGCCTGGTGGGCTGNTGTCTGAGGAGGCTTTAGAAATAGCTGAGGAAAGAATAGACACAAAAGGGAGAAAGGGAAAGATACAGCCAACTGAATGCAGATTGCCAGAGAACAGTAAGGAGAGATAAGGCCTTCTTAAATGAACAATGCAAAGAAATAGAGGAAAAAAATAGAATGGGGAAGACTAGAGGTCTCTTCAAGAAAACAGGAGATACCAAGGGAATATTACATGCAAGGATGGGCACGATAAGGGACTGGAATGATAAAGACCTAACAGAAGCAGAGGAGATTAAAAGGAGGTGGCAAGAATACACAGAATTATACCAAAAAAGTCTTAATGACCCAGATAACTATGATGATATAATCACTCTCCTAAAGCCAGACATCTTGGGAGTGTGAAGTCAAGGGGGCCTTGGGAAACATTACTACAAACAAAGCTAGTGGAGGTGACAGAATTCCAGCTGAGCTATTTAAAATACTAAAAGACGATGCTGTGAAAGTGCTGCACTCAATATGTCAGCAAGTTTGGAAAACTCAGCAGGGGCCACAGGACTGGAAAAGGTCAGTTTTCATTCCAATCCCACAGAAGGGCAATGCCAAAGAATATTCAAGCTACCACACAATTGTGCTCATCTCACATACTAGCAAGATAAAGTTTAAAATCCTTCAAGCTCAGCTTCAACAGTACATGAACCGAGAACTTCCAGATGTACAAGCTAGATTTAGAAAAGGCAGAGGAACCAGAGATCAAATTGCCAACATCTGATGGATCACAGAAAAAGCAAGAAAATTCCAGAAAAACATCTACCTCTGTTTCATTGACTATGCTAAAATCATTGACTGTGTGGATCACAACAAACTGGAAAATTCTTAAAAGAGATGAGAATACCACACCCACTTTACCTGCCTCCTGAGAAACCTGTATGCAGGTCAAGAAGCAACAGCTAAAACTGGATATGGAACAACAAACTGATTCAAAATTGGGAAAGGAGTATATCAAGGCTGTATATTGTCATTCTGCTTGTTTAACTTATATGCAGAGTACATCATGCAAAATGCCAGGCTGGATGAATCACAAGCTGGAATCAAGATTGCCAGGAGAAATATCAGTAACCTCAGATATGCAGATGACACCACTCTAATGGCAGAAAGTGAAGAGAAACTAAAGAGCCTCTTGATGAAAGTGAAATAGGAGAGTGAAAAAGCTGGCTTAAAACTCAGTGTTCAAAACTAAAATCATGGCATCTGGTCCCATCATTTCATGGCAAACAGATGGGGAAAAAATGGAAAAGTGACAGACTTTATTTTCTTGGGCTCCAAAATCACTGTGGACGGTGACTGCAGCCATGAAATTAAAAGATGCTTGTCCCTTGGAAGAAAAGCTATGACAAAACTACACAGCATATTAAAAAGCAGAGACATCACCTTGCCAACAAAACGTCCATCTAGTCAAAGCTGTGGTTCTTCCAGTGGTCACATGTGGATGTGAGAGCTGGACCATAAAGGAGTCTGAGCGCCGAAGAACTGACGCTTTTGGACTGTGGTGCTGGAGAAGACTGTTGAGAGTCCCGTGGGCAGCAAGGAGATCAACCCGGAATATTCTTTGCAAGGACTGATGCTGAAGCTCGAAAACTTTGGCCACCTGATGCAAAGAGCCGACTCATTGGAACAGACCCTGATTCTGGGAAAGACTGAAAGCGGGAGACGGGGGCAACAGAGGATAATATGGCTGGATGGCATCCTGACTCAATGGACACGAGCTTGAGCAAACTCTGGGTGACAGTGAAGGACAGGGAAGCCTGGCGTGCTGCCGTTCATGGGGTCACAGAGAGTCAGACATGACTGCACGACTGAACAAGAACAACCAAGTTTTGGTACAGTGTGTTTTCATTTTTGTCTCAAGGAACTTAAAATTGTCCTTTTGATTTCTTCTGTGACTCACTGTTTGTTCAGGTGTGTGTTGTTTAATTTCCACACATTCGTGAATTTCCTTTATTGTCTGTTTTCTGTTTCATTGGTTTCTGTTGTTTTCACCCTTCTGTTACTGATTCCTATTGTAGCTTCAAACCACTGTGTTAAGAAAATGGGATGAGATGCTTGATGTTATTTCAATCTTCTCAAAATGGTTAATATTTGTTTTGTGACCTAACAGCATAATCTGTCCTGGAGAAAGTTTCATGTGTGCTTGAGGAAAATGTGTATTCTGCTGCTGTTTGGTAGAATTTTCTATGTATGTCTGTTAGATTCATTTAGTCCAAGATATAGTTAAAAATCCAAGGTTTCCTTCTTGATTTTGTCTGGATAATCTGTCCATTGTTGAAAGTGGGGTATTAAAGTGGGGTATTATTATAATAACTATATAATGTATTCTCTGTTTCTCCCATCAGATCTATATGCATTTTGGGGCACATACAGATTTATGATTTTTATACCCTCTTGATGAGTTGACCCCTTTATCATCATATACTGAATTCTGTCTTACGGCACTTTCTGACTTACGGCCTGCTTTGTCTAATAGAAGTATAGCTACCCCTGCTCTCCTCTGGCTCCCATGTGCATGGAGTATCTTCTTCCATCCCTTTACTTTGAGCCTACGTGTGGTCTTAAAGTGGAAGTGAGTCTCTTACCCAGCAGAAAGGTGGGTCTTTCTTTCCCTCTTACGATTTGCAGTTCTGTTGCTATTGAAGATAGAAACTGAAGGGCCAGGTCCAGCGTGGTGCCTGGCACTGGCACTGGCACTGGCATAATAACGCGTCATGGAGAACTCAGAGGAGGAGCGGAAGCTGGAAACACCTCGCCGACTCTCTCACTTAGAAATCGGTTTGTCTGAGGCTACAGGTGAGTCATTTGTGGAGCTGGAACTATTACTTACACATGTCTTCTGATCCTGGCACTGTGTCCTTTCCAAATACCATGCTGTTCATTTTTGCTCTATCATCAGTATTTAAAAAGAAATTCATTTGAAACGGAACATTTTGTTCTAATGCAAAGTCACAAAATCAAGGAAACCCTCAATCCAGAATTACAGCATGAAAAGGGTAACATCACATCAGCAGCTCCACATGGTAACTACTTCGTCAAGTAAAAAGGGCAAAAGAGATACATGGTCTTGTGGCAGAGGTGTGTTTTTTTTTCCCCAGCTTTATTGAGATATAATTCACAAACCATAAAATCGCCCCCTTTTATACAATTCAGTGTTATTTAGTATATTCAGAGCTGTGCAACCATCACCATTTCTGGAAATTTTCATCTGCCCTGAAGAAACCCTGATCCATTAGCAAGCACCCCAGCATTCTTCAAGTCCAAGCCCCTGCCAGCCCCCCTGAAACCACTGCGTTCTGTTTCTGTGGGTCGGCCAGTTCTGGACATTTCCTGCAAATGCAATCACACGGCATGTGGTCTTCTGTGATGGCTTCTTTCACTCAGCACCTCCTCATCCGTGCTGGAGCATGACAAAGTGCTACATTCCTTTCATGGCTGAATGTTACCACTTTGTATGGAGGGACCACATTTTCTTTTATCTATTCACCAGCGGATGGACATCTTCATCTTTTGTCTATTATGAATAATGCTGCTATGAATATTTGTGTCCAAGTTCTTTTATGGACATGTTTTCAATTCTCATTGGTAAATACTGGGAACTGGAACCGCTGGGTCATGGTAACTCTATTTTTGACCTTTTGAGGATGTTCAGACTGTTTCCCAAAGCAGCTGGGCCATTTTATATTCCTACCAGCAACGTATGAAGGCTCCAACTCTCTACATCCTTGACGATGTTTGTTACTGTCCATCCTTTTGATTACAGCCATCCTCGTGGGTTCTGGCAGCATGTTTTTAACTAAGAGCAGCAGTTAATATACTCTGGGCAAGCGTATTCTCTGACCAACCATAGGACTCCCAGGATTCAATCACCATGGGAGGTAGAACAAGGATAATACTGACCACACTCCCTGTCCACTGCCTCGATAGGTAAGGACACTGGTTCTCGACATGTGGTTCCCAGATCAGCAGCACTGGCTGCATCACCAGGGAACCAGTGAGAAACGCAGAGGACTCCACCGAGACACTGAGTCTGAGACTGCGGGGCGGGGCCAACTCTCTGTAATTCTGGTGACCACGAGGTCTGTGCACAGCCTTTTTGCCCTCGATGCCAGCTTTAACCCCCCCTCCCCATTGGTAGTGATCAATATGTACCAAATCCTTCCTCCCCTGCAAATGAGGATGACAGAGACCATGGAAAGCTTTCTGAGGGATTCAATCATGCAACTCAAGTGGAAAGTCTGTCAATGCCTTCCATTAATGAGTGCCAGACACTATTGGTGTAGAATGTTCACAATAATTAATGTTGAGCACAGAATAAATATCCAGCTGGAAGGTAAAGAAGAATTTCACAAGCACCATCCGAGGCAGTAGTAACACAGATGGGATTTCCATCATACACGATATTTTCAATGTTCCTTATCCACTCAAGGTTTCAGAGAGCATGCATGCTAGCTCACTGGGACATGGATGACACAGGCGTGGCCCTGAGCAGTCACCTGAAACACAGTGACGTCTCCTCGGTACCGTGAAGTACACTGCAGATACTCACCTGACAAAGCAAGAACCACCACTTGTCTCTTCCCCACACTGCCACTTAAAAACCTCTCCACGCACATTTCTTACAAGCCTACAGATTCAGCTGTTAGGGACACCTCTTTGTAGCTCCATTTTTGTTACTTCCTTCAGATAGTGGTCCGACTCACTGCTTCTCTCCACCTTCGCTTGCAGCCAGGCTCGCGGCAAGCCCATGTGTCTTGCTCAGCAACTCCCGCCAGGCAGTCAGGAGAGGAAGAACCCGGGGCAGAGCTGCTAACACCTTCCATCAGGGCAAAATCGAGGCAGCTCTTCCGGCTGTCCCGACTCCATCCCTCGGCGACCACCCTGGCTTTCACAGCATCTCTCTAGTCTGAGACGTCGCGGTGTCTCTGAGTAGGTTCAGAACCTTCTGGTAAGCGTCCAGGACGGCCTGAGCGGTGGGTCTCTCTGCAGGCACCTCGCTCTTACATGCCTTGTGAATGTCAAACAAGTGGAATCGGACCATGTCGCTCCCCTCCACGTGCCCCAGAAGGAAACTGGAGACGTCGGGAATCTTCCAGATGTCACTCTTCTCGTCATACGCGGGCATGAGGTCGTCCTGGAAGGGCACGTCCTCTCCGAAGGGCCACAGCTGCTCTGGGGCCACAAAGTCCCCATGGAGCTCCCGGTGGCCGCACTTCACCAGGGCCCCGGAGCTGCGGTTCACCAGCGGCAGGGCGTCCAGGTCGCTGAGCACGATGCTGAAGTTGGCGGTCAGCAGGTACTGGGACAGGGTCTTGGGCAGGTCGTTGGAGTCGCACATGACCAGCGTGCCCAGGGGGCTGCGGTGCAGGAAGTCAAGGATGGCCACGTAGCCCAGGGCCAGCTGCAGCCGGTGCTGCCACGTGTTCAGGCTGCGGTACTTGGCGAGGTTCAGCGTCGCCTCCAGGTTGCCCAGGGAGCCCAAGGGGTGGTACTCGGTGAGGATGGTGTTGTCATCCTCACAGTAGCCCAGCAGCGTGACCACGTGCTCGCTCTGCAGCGCCCGCAGCATCTGCAGCCCGTGCAGGAAATCGTCTCTCACCTCCGGCCTGGTGAGCCGCGACAGGGCCACCTTGCGTTCCTTCCACTCGGACAGAAACACCTGGAACAAAGCCACAGAGAAGGTCAACCCGGAACCCTCGTTGGCTGGTGAGCTAGGAAGCAGATGCCTTGAGGTGCCGGATGTGGTGCAGAGGACGCACAGAGCCAAGCGCGGGCTGTTCCGCACACTCGCTTGGGAGCTGGACCACACGCTGGGCAAAGGCTTGGCCTGCAGGTGGCGGGGCAGCTGGCCGGGGAGCGGGTCTGTGGGATGACGGGGCTGCAAAGCGGATGTGGGGGTCATTCCCCAGAGAGGGGGCTGCACGGTCAAAGACAGGGAGTAGCAAACAGACCCCCAGTTGGAAAGCAGGGCTGCGCAACGCGGGGCCGGGAGGGAGAAGGCTGGGGAAGGGGCGAGTGGAGAGCTGGAGAACCCTCAGTAGGGAGTGAATCCAGCCAGCCCATCGCACACAACAGCACTGCCACTCGCTTTAAAAGGTGCAGAGGAAACCACAAATAGGAATGGCTGTACGCAGGGAACACACTTTAACACGGTCATGCTTTTCCGTGACTTTGGCTGGAACAGCAGGAGCTGAAACGACGCACACCCTGGGCCAGCTGTCCTGCCACCGCTGGCCAGCAAGCAGCTGCCCCGCACAGCCGTGTGCTCACACTTCTATCACGGGGAAAGAAGAAAGAACCGCTGACCTGATGCCCGAGTCCCCAAAGGGAAGGCAGGGGTTGCAGAAGAGAAAACAGGCTCCAGCCCAGGACCCGGCTGCCCCGGGCTGTGTCCCTCTGGCTTCCACGTCTTTGTAGTTAAAATAAAGGTTATGGAAGCAACTTGGGGTGTAGTTCTCAAGAGACTTCGGCACTTAAATCTAAGGCAATAATCCAAAATATACAAAAAGCTCTAGAAATAAAAATCTAGCATTATTTATAAAAGCCTAACTGGAACCTGTCCACCCATCAGAAATTGGGAAGCAGTCCAGTTACGCAGGGCCACTCAGGGAAGGTTATGGGTGCAGCCAAATGCAGACGCTATCTGATGGGGTTTTCACAGATACAAGCAATATTACAGATGAAAGGGACACACAGTGTTTTTATATTATTGTTATAACTGCATAAAACAAAATTACACAGAAATCTAAGGATGTTTTCTGTTCTCCTTACATGCTTCCCTCCCCGCCCCCGCCTTATACCTTTTGGTATAACAAGAAAGAATATATACTACTCTTATATTTTAAAACATTTTTTTAAGGAACTAAAAAATACATCAAATGGAGGAGGTAGGCTGGAGGACTATGAAAATTTACTGTGGGCCTGAGAAGGAAGGTTCATTAACAGAAAAACCCACTAAACTGCCACAGTTGATCATTTATTCAAATAGTTGCCTTTCAAGACATTCTCCAAAACCCAAATCTGAGAAATTTCATTATAGATAATTTCTACTAAGAAGTCAAGTTGCCCTCGCTGCTGGAATCACTGTATGTTTTGTGAATACATTTCTTAAATGTTTATATGGAACACATTTTATTCTCTCCACAGAGCTACACAAGCACTGGATTTGATCTCTGACTCCAGCATAAAAACCCTGTTTCTGTTGGGATCCATCACCCCCTTGGGCTCCCCTTCCCCTCAGTGGCACTAGCTGTGTTTTCATATAAAATGGGGGTCACTAAAGAGATGCTGCTATGGTTTTTTCACACATTTATTCCACAAGAAATGTGGGAGAGCTCCAGCCACAGGCCTCATGACTTCCTCCAGAACCTCGCTTACATCACATTCACTTTTGTGCCTCAGATAAATGAAAAGATTAAATACTACTGATGTTTATTATCAAATATTATTAGTCTTTGGGATCTCTCACAAATATCTGAAACCTCCAATGTTACACACTGCAAGTCAGGGGTTAAGAATCATTTCTCAGCAATCTACCTTTTTAAAAAATATTATAAAAATCATCATGAATACTCTTCTTGATAAAAGTTCAAATATGGAGGGAGTAGACCTCCTTCCTCTGAATTTAGTCCCCAGCCCAAAGGAGACTAGTTAACTGTTTGACTAGTAATGCTCCAGACATTTTTCTATGCTTTTACACATATTAATACCCATTTATAAAATAGCATTTGAGTTTGTTATATAAAATGGGACTATAATATATATATATAGATCCAGGTCATTCTTTTTAAAGCTTCATAACATTTCATAGTATGGGTGTACAACCTATACCGGTGTATGTGAGGTAAGATTTCACAGAAGATCTTGTTTTTTTTAAGCTGAAGTATAATAAAAATTCCTTAAATGTGGGACAGATGCTGTCAGGGTGGCTTAGGTTCATTTTTCTACACAGCTCTGTCATTTTACATAGACATTTAATATGACCTTATGGATCTATTTTTAAAGAGTTGATGTATATCTAAATTATTTCCCACTTACTTCCTATTAACAACAGTGCCACAGTGAGGAGCCTTATATTCACATCTCTGTGCACACACGCAGATGTTTTCGTACGTTAGGGAAGTAGACGGATCACTGAATGAACCCTATGTACCATGGGACCCTTCAGAGCCTGGGTCAACACGCGCTTTCACCAATCGTGTGTGAATCTCGCGTCCGAGCCTCAGCCACACTGCTGCTGCTGCCGCCAAGTCGCCGCAGTCGTGTCCAACTCTGTGCGACCCTATGCACAGCGGCCCGCCAGGCTCCTCTGTCCACAGGATTCTCTAGGCAAGAATCCTGGAGGGGGGTGCCATCTCCTCCAACCTCACTAAGTGTTACCAATCTACTGGATGAAAAACATTTCCCTGTTTTCATCTGTATTCTCCTGACGACTAATTTATCCCTGGGCATTTCTGCGTGTCGTCTGTGGAAAGTCTGTTCACTATCCTTCATGCTATCGTCTCTAGGATTGTTTGCTTCAAGCTTATTAATTTCTAGGAGCTCTTTATGTATCATTCATGTGATCCTTATTATAAATGTAAAGACAAAATTTTAGAAAATAGTTTACATGGTCCTTTGCAGTACAAAGTGTAATCTGTCTTCATTCATTTAACAAGTTACTTATGTCAATTAAGAAAACTGAAGTAAATCCCTGGCCATGTGAAATTTACATTCTAGTGCAGGAGGCAGACGATAAGAGAAAATAAACAGGAAGTGTGTAAAGTGCACTGGAAGGTAAAATATGCTTTGGAGAATAATGAAGCAGGGAAGGGGGAGGGTTTACAACTTTATTAGCTTGGGGAAGCTCTCGCCGGGGTGATGCTCAAACAGGAACCTGACGGAGGTGGAGAAGGAGCCAAGTAGCTTCTGCAGACCACATCCCAGGCAGCGAGGACAGCGGGGCGTGGCCCCTGGAGATACGTCCACAGCCTGCAGTGACAGAGCAGCGCGGGGTCGGGGGGTGGGGGTGGAGGCTGGGAGCGGCCCTCGGTGGCTGAAAGGACTGGAGAGGACGAGGTGCCCTGCACGGAGGAGCAGAGCAGAGGAGGGACACGGCTGAGCGCGGTTACACACACGGCACTCCAGCTGCGGCGTGAGCAGCCGAAGTGGGCAGGGGCGGAGGCAGAGAGCCCCAGCTGGAGGACATGGAGACGGGCAGGCACCAGGCACGGAGCCTGGGTCGGGAGGGGCCGAGGCAGGAGCCCCAGAAAGGCCACATCCTAGCTCTCTCCCACGTGCAGAGACACTGGAACCTCTGAGGGTCTGAGCGTGGATGTGGAGAAGAGGATGACAGCGGTGCCTCCTGGGGCGGGGAAGAGATAAATGCTGGGACTAACACACATGTGCCACTAAATATGAAAGGGATAACCAACAAGACTCTACCGCAGAGCTCAGTATTCTGTAATAACCTATATGGGAAAAGAATCTGAAGGACAGATGAGTAAGATTTCACTGTGCTGTACATCTTAACAACCTACTGTAAATCAGTAATATTCCAATATAAAATTAAAATTGAACTTAAAAGAAAAAGGAGGCCTCCTGGCCGTGGTGTGAGTAGCTGGGTGGTGGGGAGAGGGGAGGAGGCTGAGACGATGGTCTGTGACATACCTACGGTGAGAAGCCTTTCAACATCCAAGACTAGGGGAGGCAGGGGATAGAAAAGTCCAGAGTTCACCAGGGGATAAAGGCAGGAATGGGGCCGGATGAGGCCACCCAGGCATCAGCACAGAGGAGAAGAGAGGTCCCGGATGAGGAGGCGGCTGAAGGGTGGACGCTGCTTTTTCACACACTTGTGCTCCAGTCAGCCTTCCACATGAAAAACATCACAATCGGTCCTTTCTGGGGTTACACAAAGCTAGAGGGCAACAGAGGAAGAGAAAGAACTGAATCGGTTCTTCTGATGGACGCCAACCCAAACGCTCTGCCCCTGTAAGGGACCTTTTCACACCGTTCATAGAGTTCTCAAGGCAAGAATACTCAAGTGGTTTGCCATTCCCTTCTCCAGTGGACCACGTTTTGTCAGAAGTCTCTACCATGACCTGTCCGTCTTGGGTGGCCCTACAGGGCATGGCTCATAGCTTCACTGAGTTACAGAAGGCTGTGGTCCATGTGATCAGTTTGGTTAGTTTTCTGTGATTGCAGTTTTTAGTCTGTCTGCTCTCTGATGAAGAAGGATAAGAGGCTTATGGAAGCTTCCTGATGGGAGAGACTGACTGTGGGGGAAACTGGGATCATAGATAAAGCAAGAAAGTTCCAGATAAACATCTACTACTGCTTTATTGACTACGGCAAAGCCTTTGACTGTGTGGATCACAACAAACTGTGGAAAATTCTTTAAGAGATGGGAATACCAGACCACCTTACCTGCCTCCTGAGAAATCTGTATGCAGGTCAAGAAGCAACTGTTAGAACTGGACATGGAACAATGAACTGGTTCCAAATTGGGAAAGCAGTGTATCAAATGCTGCATATTGTCACTCTGCTTATTTAACTTATATGCAGAGTACATCATGCAAAATCNACAGAGGATGAGATGGTTGGATGGTATCACCAACTCGATGCACATGAGTTTGAGCAAACTCTGGGAGTTGGTGATGGACAGGGAGGCCTGGTGTGCTGCAGTCCGTGGGGTCCCAAAGAGTCCGACATGACTGAACTGAACTGAAAGTACCTTAGTTTTAAAGGACAAAAGCAGCAGCTGTGAAAACTACCGGAGGTCTGTGAGGTGGGCACACAGATGCTGTCAGAGAGGAGGATGCCCACGAGGGAGGTGTCGGGGAAGCGAGGTGGATGGAAGGTCAGGAGGCCGCCCTGGGCCGGACGCTGCACAGGCCCTGGGGTCCCAAGGACAGACGGGGCTCCCAGGAGAGCTGACACTGCACTCAGAATACTTGTGCCATGAGGGCAAATTTCAGCCACAGAAACAAAACCTCAGTAACAGCCTTTGAGTGCCCTTCACCTTAACAAACCAACCACACTGTGTGCTGCTGAGTCTAGTGGGAGTCTGCTGAGGTCCCCTAAAATCACGTCTGTCCCCAAACAACAACCCGCCATCACTGAAGCCACTCAAAGGCCTCCTTCAGGGTAAAAACCAACGCCAAAAATGTTCTGCCTGAGCCCAACAACAGAGAAACCAGTGGGGAGCACACAGGGTCCCTCTTCGAAGGAGAGGAATTACCTGGCTTCAGGTCCTCTCTCCACTGCCCCCCTCCCTAGGGACATCTTCACGCCCACTGCTGCCAACACCCACCCAAATCTACGCCTCCCCCCACCCCGAGGGCCAGATTTTGCACCCAGCGGCTGGCCACCTCATACGCACATGGGACCTCCCCGGCGCTGCTGACCCTGTCCCTCAGCTGCCCCCGCCAGGCACCTCCATCACCCCGTCCCTTACAGCCCACGGCCAATCTAACGGGATGGCCCGCGGCCTCCACTTGGGAGGGACAGTCAGAACCCACTGATTCCTCGCCAGATCCAGTCGGGCTGCGGTCGCCATGCTCCCCACCCAGGCCGGCACCCCCGCCCCCCACACCGCATGCAGGGGCAGCGTGCCCGAGGCTGGGAGCCCCCCAGGAGCCTCACCTGACTCCTTCCTCGCATCCTGCCTCTGGTCCCCAGCCAGCCAGGCACGGCCTCAGCAAGTCCCCAGGTTTCCTGCTGGACCCTTGTCCCCAGATACCCACCACCACCTTGACCCCCCGGGATGACAAGCCCACAGCTCTCTGCCTTGCCCCAAGGGCAAGTTTCAGCCAAAGAAACAAAATTTCAGGGTAATGGCCTTTTGGTCGCCCTTCATTTTAACGAACAAGCCACATCCTTAACTGACTTCCAGAGTCATCCTATCTCAGTTAACACGGGCACAACCGCTGCTGAAACACGGCCCAGGAGACAGGGCTCTGGAGGCTTCTAATGAGAACTGAATCGGCTCCTTTGGTTTCTCTTTTTGAAGTAAAAAATTCTCTTAATCAACATAATAGCATGCTGACAGGAATCACAGCAATTACTTTTTCCATCTGTCTCCAAGAATAACGGAAATAAAACAGAAATAAACAAATGGGACCTACTTAAACTCAAAAACTTTTGAACAGCAAAGGAAACAATAAACAAAAGGAAAAGACAACCCACAGACTGGGAAAAAATATTTGCAAATGATGTGACCGACGAGCGACTAAGTCTCTAACATTTACCAACAGCTTGCTCGCACAACGCTTAACAGCATCAAAACAAAAAACCCAGGCTCCCCTGGGGATCAGTGGTAAAGAATCCATCTGCCAGTGCAGGGGACATGGGTTTGATCCTTGGTCTGGGCAGATTCCACATGCCTCGGGGCAACTAAGCTCGTGCGCCAGAACTGCTGAGCCTGCGCTCTGGAGCCTGCGTGCCTAGACCTCTGGGCAACAAGAGAAACCACTACAAGGAGAAGCCCATGCACCCCAAGGAGAGCTGCCCCCACTCGCCGGAACAAGAGAAAGCCCATGCCCAGCAGTGAAGACCCAGAGCAGCCCCCAAACATAAATAAAATGAATAAAATATAAAAATAAAGACAGAGGTAATAAATAAATAAAATGGGTAACCAACGAGGACCGACGGTACAGCACGGGGAACTCTGCTCAGGAGTGTGCGGCAGCCCAGACAGGAGGGGAGTTTGGGGGAGAATGGATACATGTATGTGTTCAGCTGAGTCCCTTCGCAGCTCATCTGAAACTATCACAACGTTGTTAACTGCCTACACTCCAAGGTAAAATAAAAAGTCTTTAAAAAACAGCACCGTAGAGATGGAAAAATAAGAACCAGAAAAGCTTGCCCCAAATCCTCCTTCAGCATTGTACGATTTCTATCATTTTTATATTTTTTCCATATGTAATCTTGCAGATGGAAACAGCATCTCGCACAGCTTTCCATTTTGCTTTTCTACTTATGACAGCGTTCTCATGCTGTGACACGGGGTTCCTAACGGCATTTGTTGACTGTGGAACCCCCTACAAGGGGGTGGGCCACCCTTTACTGGGATGACCTCCCCGTGGCCAGGTTTCTGGGGTGATGCCAGCCGCCCCCCCCCCCCCCCCCCCCCCCCCCCCCCCCCCNAGCCGGACTCACCGTCTTCACGGCTCCCTCCCCGACACGCTTCAGCGGCCTGACTTCCGTCCTCAGCTGCTCGCAGGACAGCCACGGGGAGCAGGTGGTCACCTGCCCCATGCTGAAGTGGCCAGGCGGGCAGCGGCCGGGGTGCTCCGTGGGGCCCCGGGGCGTGGTGACGAGCCGGTCGAGGCAGAGGTAGAGGACGACGTTCATGAGCGCCATGGACAGCAGCAGCCCCACGGCCGGGGGCAGCTCCCTGGGCGCGGGCCCCTTCCTGCCCTCCGGCGGCCCCGTCTCCATGGCGCTGCGCTCCGCTGGGCCCTCGGTCACAGCCAGGCCTGTCTCAGGAAGGACGGAGGGGCCCAGGGCCACTGTGAGCATCGGGGTTTGAGAGAAGCAGATGCGTGCCGGATGCCGGCTCCTCCCGGAGCCCCGACTTTCTACTGCAGGTTTGAGCAGAAGGCAGTCCTGGGCCTGTCGGCAGTGTCTCTGTCCCCCCCACAGCCGCCTGCACGGAGTAAAGACAAGCCCTGAGCAGCCAGCAATGCTAAGACGAAAGCAAACCGCGGCTCTGAGGACGGCAGGGGAGAAGCTGGGCTGGGGGCTGTGTGGGATGCTGAGCGGCTGCGGTGCCCCTTGAAGGTGCTCAGAAGCCCCAATGCTTTTAAGCAGCAAAGGTGTGAAAGGGTGCCCTGGGAGGGGTGGGAGGGCTGGGTGGAGGAGGCCCAGCGCGGAGGCAGGCGCTGCTGCCTGGCCGCAGGGGGCGGGAAGGAGCCTGGATGCTGGATGTCTGGCGCGGGGCCCTCCAGGAGCCTGGGGTGGACGCTGGTTGCCACCCACAGGGGTCAGGGCTCCAGCTGGCCCCGCACATTGGTTTGAAAGCGCTCTGCCTCTAAGTACCAAAGACGAGGTCTGTTGAATAAGACTTGTGACTCTGCACACAGGCGAACGGCCATGGCCTGAGCAGCCCGCTTCCCCAGGGCCCTCCCGGCCAGGGGTCTCCCAGGCTCCTGATCTCCGGGGCAGTGCAGCTGGGCCGGGAGCCGAGGCCTCCCCGCCAGCCCCTCTCTGCCCCCCGGCGCCCCCTGACCTCCACCACTCCCTCCTGGAACCCACTCCCCCCACATGTCTTAGGCAGCCCGTACGTGCCCTACTACGGGCACTGCCAAGCGCTAGGTGAGGATGTGAAGAAAAAGAAACACTCTGACACTGTTGGTGGGAACGTAAACCGGTGCTGCTGCTACGGAGAACCATGTGACGGTTCCTCAAAACAATAAAACACTAAAATTAGAACCATCACATGATCCAGCAATCTCACTCCTGGGTGCATATCCAAAAAAAACCACAACCCTGCTAATGTGAAAAGATACATGCAACCCTCTGTCCATAGCATCATTATTCATGAGAGTCAAGACATGAAAGGAATGGTGTTTGTCAACAGAGAATGAATGAAGATGTTGCATGAATTTTTAGGTGTATATATACAGCAAATCTCAACATGAAAAGATAAAAGTATACCTACCAAACTCAACCCTCCCCGCTCAAATCCGCTCTTTTCAGCGCTCACAGTCTCAGAAGTGCCCGCTGTAATCTCCCAGTGACCAGGCTGCAGGTGCAGGGTCAGCAGTGACAGCGCTTCTGCTGAGCGGGGACTGTCAGCAGTGAGGGACTCGGCTCAGCCACACCACCCCAGACACGCCAGGCCGCGTCTCCCCTCCAAAGCTACGCAGGGTCAGGCCGGGTTAGTAGGTGGATGGGAGAAGGGAGGACTCTTCCGTGGGTCAGGGTACTTTGCCCTGATCGGAAGAGAACGCGGGGCTTCCATCATCTCTGCCGTCACCGCAAGGAGCTCGGGGACCCCCGGCTCTGCTCCAGGCTCCCTCAAGCCCCTTCTCTCTGGGACGAGGTGGGGTGTTCACCCACGGCCCGCGTCCTGCCAGCAGTGCCCAGTGACGGCCTGGGCGTTGTCTGCTCACCGTCCTCGAGATCCCGGGCCCGCATCTTTCTCACCGGAGCCCTCCCTCCGGGCGTCTCCCAGGAGCCCGGGGTGGACGCTGGTTGCCACCCACAGGCAACAGTGGACTCTACGACGCCGTTCGTTCACCAACCCAGCCTCACAGTCTCCGGAGCGTCTTCCCCCAACGCCTGATTCTTAGAAGCTGACCTGCAAGAAACAGGCAAAACTCGTGCCGTCTCTCCTCTGCGGCATTTAAAGCGACCAAGACTGTCTCAACTTAGACCTGAGGTCAGAGGCCAGAAGAACTTTTTCCCATAAAGCGCCAGACAGTAAAAGTTCAGCTTTAGGGGCCACAGCGGTAATGGAGGGACCACAGCACTGGGACGCGTGGGGCATGGAGCGGCCGGGCAGAGTGACCGGGGGACGGTTGCAGTCCCTCCATCCAGCCGCCAGCAGCAGCCGGGCCCTCCCGCACCAATGGACGAGTGTGGCTCTGTTCCAGCAAAACTCTGCTCACAGACACTGAGATTCGAGCCTCAGTCACAAGACTGTTCCTTTGATTTTTTTTTTCCCCCCAACATTTAAAAAAGTGAAAGGGATCCTTAGCTCACAGGCCACACAAGAATGGGTGGCGGGCAACAGCTGGCCGGCCTGCCTCAAGGGGATGCCATCCCTCGGGGTGTTGCAGGCCCCTCTTCCATTCCAAGCCTTCCACGTGGTCTCATCCATGCATACGGCTCAGGCGGCCCCGTAGATGCAGATGGTTTCCAGCCTCTGCTGTCACCTGGCTCCTTCTCTTAAAGCATCACTCAGCTGGGGACCCCTCAAGGTCTGGGACGTCCACCTCTCAATTCCCCCTCCTGTCGCCAGCATGCCTGCCATGCAGGGGTCCCCACTATGAGGGGCACGCAACCGGGGAACTTGATGTCGCCCTCCCCGAAGCATAACAGTCACCATCGACAGTCGCTTCTCCCCCCCGAAAGCTCCCCAATCTGCTCGCTCTCCCCTTCCCTCGCTCCCCCACCCCAGTCGAAGCAGCTCCTACCTGGGCTTCTGCGACACTCTCCCACGGGCTCTCCCACTGCTTTCTCTTTTCCAATCCATTCCCCGCAGCAAACAGGATCTCTTTTCTTTCCTGAAACGTTGCAAGCACAGAAAAAGTGAAAATGTAGACCGTGAGCAGCTATCCACTCTGTCAAGTAACACTGCGTCCCCCTTTTTAAAGAAATAATGCCAACAGGGTTGAAGCCACGTACCCCTCACAGTCCTGTTCTGCTCCCTCCCAAAAAGTAATCCCCATCCTCAAGTGGGTGGGTCAGCAGTGCTTAAACTCTGGTCCCTGCGCCAGCAGCAGCAGGAGCATCTGAAACTTCTGAGAAACACAGGTTGCTGAGTCCTCGCCCTGGACTTCCTGAAGCAGAAACTCTGCGGTGGTATCCAGACATCTGAGTTGACACATGTGACTCACCACCTGCCGAAGATTCAGAGTTCCCATGCATGCTTTTTATTTCCACCACATGGATGTGTGCCCCTAAATAACAACACATAACGCACGAATGTTTCCAAGCTTTACACAAGCGGTACTGTCCTTGTAACCACAGGGGTCTGGTTCCAGGACTCCCATGAACACCAACGTCTGGGGGGGGTTCAAGTCCCTCCTATGAAATGGCGCAGTGTCCCTTATCAGGGATGCAAGAGTACATCCTTGTAAACTGCTTCTTCTAAAAGCCCAGCCTTACATCTCTGAGGTTTCACCCAAGCGCATGCATGAAATGCCAGTTCATTTTGTGGACCAACTATACCACCGCTGGTGAAGCAGGTTTTGCACACACTTCCTGTGCCCGTGTGGGAGACGTCCTCTCTGGTATACACAGGGTCCTTATGAAGCACAAATTTTGTCACTCTTGGCAATAAAAACATTTGACAGCCCCTCTCTGCCCTCAGGTGCTTCCCCTGGTGGCTCAGACAGTAAAGAATCTGCCAGCAATGCAGGAGACCTGGGTCGGGAAGATCCCCTGGAGAAGGGAACGGCAACCCACTCCAATATCCTTGCCTGGAGAATTCCATGGACAAAGGAGCCTGGCGGCCTAGGGTCCAGGGGGCTGCAAAGGGTTGGACATGAGTAAGCAACTAATACTTTCACTTTCTCTGCCCTCAGAATAAAGTCCAGACTCTGATACCTACCCCGCAAAAGATCAGCCGCTGTGCCCCTCTCCAGACCCAGCCTGCACCCCACACTCCCACCCCCGGCTCTTCTCATCCCTGCAGGCCCCCATGTGAGATGCCTGTTCCTTCCTCCTTGACTGTGAGATCCCCGAGGACCCTCCCCTGCCTGCCGCGTGTACCCAGGTATCCCGGCGGCTGGGGGGCAGCAGGCACTCGATCCTTTGGGCCCCCGTCTTCCCAGCCTCAGGTGCTGCCTCCCGCTCCTGCGTCACTCCTACCGTGTCTGCGCTCCTTCTCTTCGCGGTGCCGGAGCCCTGTCTCTCTCACTCACCACCCGATCCGCGGACTGGAGTAGCCCCTCACCTCCCAATCCTACTCTGCACCTCCAGGGGTAGATTCAGATCTTACAAGGGCTGAAGCTTACTTTGTTTTCTTCTGGAGGGACATCGCTTTCTTCCCTGCCACTCAAGGCTGCCAATCTCAGGACACATTCACATCTTCAAATCTGTGCTGGACTCTCATCATTACCCCTTTAACCTTTTTGTCAGCTTGACAGCCATGCGCCTCAACAGCCTTTTGATGATCCTGAAGTTCCCTCACGCACTTCTGAAACCCATCTCAGAAAGACACAACCAGAAGTTCAGCTACTATTTACAATGTCTGTCTGACACGGATTCTATGAGCTAAATATAACTGCTGCTATTCCCATTTCACAGATAAGAAAAACCGAGTCAATTACCCAAGGTGACTAAAACTGTACATAGAAAAGTCAAGCTTTCTGGCCTCAAGTTAACTTTCTTCCTCTAAATCCTACAACCTCAGGCATTGGACTGAATTGAATACAGCTGGATCACTGCAGGGATTAGGGGATCGATGCTGAGACCCTGAGACCCTCCATCAACTTATTAAACAAGTCTTTTACCCACTCCATCACCTGATTTTTTGTTTGTTTGTTTTAAAGGTATATTTCTGGAGTAGGCTGCCCAGAGTTGAGGGATAAGGTTGTATGGCTGAGGGAATGTTCTTGCCCAGAAAAAAGCAAAATACACGGAAAGCTACTGCTTAGACACATAGGAATTCTAAGAATAATTATAAAAAATTGGTAACAGAAACAGTGGAAACCGCTGCTATACACTCACAGCTTAATTTTTTTTTTTTTTTTTTAAAGAAAGAGACGGCAGTGGGAGGGAGGAAGCTTAAAGAAAAAAAGCAATGGAACAAAATTGGTTTCTGCCAACTACAGAATATCTTATACAACCAGGGAAGAAACAAATTCGTGCTCCACAATACAATTCTGGTTGTATCCCACTTTGCCAACAAAGCACAGGTACATTAATACAATTGTTTTAAATATTCTGGATGCCTGCTTAGCCTTAAGGTTCTAAAGCAGAGGTCAAGGGTGGAGAAAACCAGACCACCAAAGAACATGCATGGCTCAACCCTGCTTTTTAAAAGTGGGGACAGCAGACGACTACACCGGACCCGGAGCCGCATCCCCGGGGCAGTGCGGCGCCGACCACCTCCGGCGGAGGTGTCCGTCCCGGAGGAGTGTCTGCCGCCTCCAGTCCGGCTCGGGCGCCGGGCAATACGCGGACCAGCTGCCCCCATTCTCGCCCGCAACCCCTCGCCGCTCGCTGGCAGCACGCGCGGCTCCGAGTGCCGGCTGGCGCTCCGCCTCGACCACCCTACCTGAGGTCCTCTCCCCAGATGGGCCGGCCGTCCCTCCCCCGAGGCCGCCGCCCCCTTCCCCGGGACCGCCGCCGCCGCCGCCCCTACCTGCGGTCCCATCCCCCGGCCAGGCACGCGGGCTCCTGCGCCTGCGCGGCCGGAAGCGCGCCCAGCAGGACCAGCGCCAGGCTGCCCCGAGGGCTCCGTCTCCCGCTACGCACGCGGAAAAGCCGGAGGCCGGAACGCAAAGCAGGAGTCGGAGCGCACCCGGAACCAGCCCCCGCGCACTGGGCCGGCCCCTGTTCCGGCTGCTGCTCTCAAGTGCGCGAGGGCGGTGATGCGGCTACGGGCCGGGGATGGGAGCTCGGGGCGGGGAGGGGCGAACAGTGAGGACCGGTATGCTCTAGACCCGCCCAGCGAAAGGCCCTACTTCCAAAGGGTGGTCCTCTAACCTGGTGCCAAAGGTTCATGGCTCCAGGGAAATTTGTAGAAGTGCAAATTCTGGCCTGCATCCCAGACCCAGGGCTGCAGCCCAGCGCTCTGGGCTTTACAGGCCTCCGGGGATCCCCATGCTGGACGTGCTCCTTTGTTAAAGTGTGGCTTCACCCGGAAAAAACACAAGGTGAATGCAGAAAAATGCACCCAGCTGAGCCGCGCGCAGGAATGCACCGAACGCACATGCGCACACACTTCAGCATCTCCCAGGGTCCTCAGTTCGTGTGTTAGGTGCCACACTTACCCACATCTGGAGTTACAACTTTGCAATGGATTTCAGATCACTCTGCATCACTTCACAATATAAGCTGCAACCCTTACAATGCCCATGTCTACAGCTGAAAAATAAAACAAACTCACCGGATAGGTTCAATAGCAGAATGCAGATGACAGAGAAAAATGTCAGTGGACCTGAAGACAGATATATAGAAATGAGCTAATTTGACCAATACAGAGAATAAAAAATAGAAATAAAGAACAAAAGGCACGTGCTGGACAAGAACACTCTAACCTTCTTGCCATCGGAGTCTCACAGAAGATATTATTTGAAGGAATAATGGCTTAAAATATCCTGTTTGGTGAAAAACACAAATCTACAGAATCAAGAAGCTGAGCAAACGGAATGAACCCAAAGATCTCCATTTCCAGACACATCAAAGTGAAATTACTAACGCAGACTAAA